TCCGTAGTCCCCTTATCTGTTACCTTCCATACACTCTGTACTCTCTATCTTGATTCTGTGTACTTATTTACACGCCTTATTGAATTGGCTTATTTTTTGGGGGGGTCTTTCTTTGTATACTCCACACTTAGCACAGTGCCTGGTGCCCAGTGTAGCACTTAATAAATGCTTGTTGACTGCTGGCTTTTTGTTTTTAATGTTTTAATTATGAACTTGACAAATGCAAACGTTTCCATATTCAAAGAACAGAAAGATATGAAATCATGATCACTACTAAAGCCTCTTTTTAAAGTATATATTAAATTTAACACTATAGCACCAACATTTCCCTGTTTGTATTCCTTTCTAAACTTTCTTTTCTTTTATTTTTAAATGTTTCATTTATTTTCTTGTCTTTTTTTCTGTATCACTATCACTCCCCCATTCCCCTTCACAACTCTTTCCTCCAAAATGCAAGCCCTTCCTTATAATAAAGTCAAGCAAAACAAATGTACATATTTTGTCCGAATATATGTCTCATTCTGAGCTTCTAGTCTACCCCATTTATGCTGAGAATCTTTTTCTTACTCAGAATAGGGCAGAAAATGTTTGTCTTTATTGGCATTATATTGAATTCATCCAGATCTAGTAAGATTTGTATATTACATAAAAATTGACTGACACTGTGAATTATGAGACTGTAACTGAGATTGAAGGTTCTGATGATTTACTCTGCATTTATAGCTTATGGGCTTCCTGAAAATCCCCTTCAATGGAATTAGAACCTTTAATTCATGGTTATGTGTTCTATATTCTTCTGAAGACCACTGTTGTAATACCATATTCACTGCACAACTAGTGTATTATTTTTAGATGTGGATCACCACTTAGAGAGGGGAAAAGTCTGTGGGATGGTGGGTAATGAACTATTTTTTGACATATGTCACAAATGGCAATGGAAAGCAGTAATTCTGAATAAGCAAGAGTGACTCCACTGCAGCTAAGACTGGGTATAGAGCATGGATATTTTATATGTCTTTTTATATCACATACATCTTGATACTTTTAATTTTGGGCAAAATAAAAATGATTCAAGGATTTTCTTTCCTTCAGTCACTGGTAGCTTATCATCACTGAAAAAAGACTCAAGGTATGCTATTCACTCTATGCCTTTTATTCCCCAAATAATTTTATTTAATGAAAGGCACCTATCTTGGTCCTGGAAATATCATTTTGCACCCCAAAATCCTTTCACTTGAAAATACTAATATGCTGGCAGTTAAGTACAGCTTCATGTACCTTCTTAGTTTTTATTTTTTCTGTATATGTAAATTTTAAAATTAAATAAAGACACTCCCAGAAAGCCTATCCCCCCCCCCCCCCCCAGGAATCAAACAGAAGTTTAATCTCAAAGTGAGGGAAACAGCTTGCAAGCAAGGACACACGTGCCAAAGCCCTGCCCCGGGGGGGGGGGGGACACCACTTTAGTGTGGGGAGATCTCAATACTTATACCAATGGCTGCATAGTGAGCTGCAGACTGACAATGAGGAGTAACAGCAACAGTGTGACAAGTTTGATTACAGCAGGGCTTCTTGATCAGAAACAATTCTGGGATTTTGTTGTGGCTGAGGTCCACCAGAGGGTGAGCTCAAAGGACTGTTGTTACGCCAAGCTCAGGGCACAGCTTGCTTGCTGGGTATTGGCTCTGGAAAACAGGGTGTCTCCTAATATCTTGAAAACTACAAGTACAAAATGAAGTATGTACTTTCAGATACGGTCAACATGGTGTTTTGTTTTGTTTTTGCTTAACTGTATGGGAGGACCCTTTACATACACTATGCTATTGAGCCTCACAACAGCTTTGTGAGGTACATAGGGCAGTATTACATCCATTTTATAATTGAAAAAACTGAGGGTGAGAGGTTAAATTAAGTGCCTCTAGTCACAAGGAGAGTAAATGTCAGAGGTAAAATACAAACTCGGGCCTTTTCTCATTTCAAGTCCAGCAGCCTATCCACTTCCATAATGAACTATAGTGGAGCAGTCAAGTAGGGTCATTAGCTTAGTGAGTTTCAATTTCTTCTTTTGAAAAAGGAGGAGACTGGACTAGATTACCTCGAAGGTCCCTACCAACTCTGAAAATACTTTCACATTGTAATTAGGAGAACTCTAAGCATGGTCTAGTGATTAAAGAGCTGGCATTAAAGCCAGGAAGATCTGGGTTCAAAATCTTGCCTCTGACATATACGGGATGTATGACCCTGTGCAAGTCACTTACCTTTTCAGTGCTCTAAGCAATTCTCTTAGACTGTAAATTGCAGAGAAGGTGCTAACCTGCCTTGATAGGAGTTTCTTCACTTGAGTGAAGACACTAATGAAATCTAAGTTCCAGTCCCTGCTTCATTGTAATGAAAAGTAATATTTATCATCATCATTGATGTCAGCTGTAAGTTCTTTGAAAGTAGGGCTGTTTTAACCCAGTGCTTTTGTCACAGAATAAATGCTTGATGAGGGGCAGCTAGGTGGCGCAGTGGATAGAGTACCGGCCCTGGAGTCAGGAGGACCTGAGTTCAAATATGGCCTCAGACACATGATACTTACTAGCTATGTGTCCCCTAGGCAAGTCACTTAACTCCGATTGCCTCACTAACAAAACAAACAAACAAAAAAAACCAAGAATAAATGCTTGGTGGAATGAATTGGACGTTAAATTAAGGGCCTTTGAAATGCAAAGGGAGAATAACAAAGCTGATTAACATAGTCCAAAATAACTGATACACATATCTGAGCAATGGTAGTGAGTGGAGAAAAGTTGCCTGGTCAGAGTGGAGGGTGCGGTAGTTTGTGATTTTGCTGAGGATAGATGGTAGAGTAGGTAGCTAGATAGTATGATTTGACAGGTGTCAGGAAAGCTCCACCCCTATTTTATTGCATGTCTCAGACAAGCAATCTCCAAAAATTTTATCAGGACTTTTCCGCTCAAAGAAAATGTAAAAACAAAAAACAAAACGCTGGGAGAGAATATACATAAAGTTTATCAATCCTTGCAGAGTTTCTGATTCTTTGCAGAGAGATTTTGAAATATGGAAATATGGGAATATGGGAAAAGAAAAATAAGGTTAAGAATGTTTGACCTAAAAGGCTATAAAGTGATTTAAAAAATTCCATAATTTGTCAAATAGGCTGCACTAGAAGAGAGGCTGATATAAATGTGAGATTGAGGATCTTCTTTCCTCCCTCTCCAATTCTGCCTTAGAACCAGTCTTAATCAGAGAGAGAAGATTAGGGTGAGCAGGATAATTCTGAAACCCTCAGGGTACGTAAAAACAAATAAGTCAACAGAGGAATCCCCTCCAAGCGAGCAGGTGCTAGCTTCCAGAAGAGAAACAGGCCCAGGCATCGATAGAAGATCTAGGATTTTGAAAAGGAACATTTAAAAAAAAGGAAAAAGAAAAGAAATGGAAAACTAGTTTATGCACAAAACAGCACGAAGACCCGCTTCCACTTTTCCTCCTCGTGCTAAAACAAGCGCCCCCTCAGCCTGCCCCTCCCCGCCCCCCACGTCCCTTGCTCCCCTAGCCTGGCAGAAGCCCTTCTCTCTGGGCCTCCGGGATGACACCGCGCGGCTCTGCCCCGCAGGTAGCGGTAGGGCTGACGTAGCCCCGAGCCCGACCAGTGCAGACGTGGGCAGCTCCACCGTCGGTGGGGCCGAGAGAAGGGGAGGGGGGTGGGGGCCCAGCGTGGCCAGGCTCCCCTCCCACCCCGGCGAGGCTGGGGCCAGACCCCTCCCTTTCCTATTCCACGTCAGGTTTCTAGGGAGGCGAGGCCGCAGTGGTTAGACGGGGCGCGGGTGTGGCGCGGAGGGGCACCGGCGGCGGCACGCCCTGGCTGAGCGGCAGCTCGGCTGGGCTCGGCTCGGCTCCCTCTCAGGCCCGGCGAATAACGGGCTCGGGGGCTGAACCGAGGCGAGGGTGCGGCTCAGGCACTGCCCCGGGTGCTGAATCCCGCCCAGATCTCCTCCAGCCCCGAGACCGTTAGCCGCCCTCCCCCTGGGCCCGGGGGGTTGCCATCCTCCTCTCCTCGCCCGGGGTGCAGCGGAGCGGGGGGCAAGAGCTGCTCGCGCCTGGGATGGGGGGATGTTAGGGCCGGGAGGAGGAAGAGGGAGGGGGCAGGAGGGAGGAAGAAGAAGGAGGGGACTCGGTAAGGGAGGGTTCTTTTCTCTCCGTCTCTCTTTTTATTTTTTTATTTTTGGCCAAACTTTGGCCACGTGAACCGCCCCCCATTCACTTTTGCGCCAATGGGGCAGCGAGGACGGATCCCGAGCGAGGCCACGGGACCACTGCCGCGGCAGCCGCTTCATAACGCGCTGTGCGTGACGTGAGGGGCTCCTCTTGCAATGGCGAGCTGAGCCGGAGGATGTGCAGCAGCAGCGGCGGCGCCGCCGGCGACTACGAGGGCAGGGGTAGCGCTAGCTTAGCGGAGCCCAGCCAGTCCGAGGGGCAGGGGGGAGGCAGGGAGGGGAGATCCCCGCTGCTGGACGCGCTGCCACTCCGGCCCCGAGACGCCGAGCGGGAGCCCTCGCTGCCGCTCTCTAGTCCCTTTGCCGTCTCCTCTTCTTCCTCCTCCTCCTTCTCCTCCTCCTCCTCCAGCGCCGCCGCCGCCGCGCGCCGGGCATGGTCCCTTCTTAAAGGCGCAGGACCGCGGCGGGGGTGGGAGGGGGGGCGCGGCCAGAACAAAGCGCCGGTGCTCGCGGGGCGAGCGAGGGGCCTGCGGGCGGATTAGGAGGACCCCGAGGAGCCATGGGTATGCGGGGCCGGCCGCAGGCGCGGCCGCGCTGCCTGTCCCCGGCCCGGGGCCGCTAGGACAGACAGGGTGGCCTCCCCAGACCGGGGTGCTGTGACGGGCCAGCTCTCTCCCGCCGGCCGGTGAAGGGAGCGGATAAGGGACTGCAGCGGGCGAGCCCCTGGCCGGAGCCGCGGAGCGCAGCGCCGAGCAGCGCAGCGCAGTGGGGTCGGGCCCGCTCGGAGGAGGCTGCTCCCGGGGGAGGTGGCTGTTTTTCAGGGGGCGAGGGAGGCTGTGCAGCCGGCGGGCAGTTGGGGAATGGCTGGGAGAAGCCGCCGCTCCTGGCTCAGTGTGTTGCTAGGGCTCATCCTGGGCTTCATCCTGGCGTCAAGGCTGATCCTGCCCCGCGCTTCGGAGCTGAAGAAAGCGGGTCACCGGCGCAAAGCCAGCCCGGAGGGCTGCCGTCTGCAGCAGCAGCTGCAGGATCTGCCGCCACAGCAGCAGCAGCCCCCTGTGCTGTCGTTCGGCGGGGCGCGCGAGGACTCCCGGGGCTCGCTGCTTTGGTCTCCGGAGCTGGCCGCTGGCGGCCACCCGGACGACCTACCCCGGGCCAAGAACTTTCTCTTCGTGGGAGTCATGACAGCCCAGAAGTATCTGGAGAACCGAGCCGTGGCCGCCTACAAGTGAGTGTTGCCTGCATAGACTCTGCATCCCGGGCAAGTCCTCGGGGCATCCGATTTCATCTTCACTCCTAGCCTCTAGGCTCCAGCCTCTTCCCAAACCTCTGGATGGTTCGGGAGGGCAGGGAATGTCCTTTTGAATCTACTTCTCTCAGTCAGATGAGACCTGTTTAAACCTGGAAGAGAGATTTAGCCATCCTCTTGTGTTTGGGGGTGGTGGTGGTGGAGTCTTCAGGTGATACACAGCAAAGATACACTATGTCAGTTTCCTGACAGCAGGAAACAGACAGCCTTCTCTTGAGAAAGCTAGAGGGATTCCAACTGTGCTTTATTTAGATAGATTCCTTCTCTAGATTTCCACTGGCCAGGGAGTTTTTTAATCTGGGGTCGATGGACCATTCAGGTCCTTGGATAGATTGTCAAAAGGATCTGTGAATTTGGATGGAGGAAAAAAAAACATCTTTATTTTCACTAATTTCTAACTGAAATTTAGCATTTCCTTAAAGTATTTTAATGCATTATTCTGAAAAGCGTCTATCACACGCACCCACAAAACGTCAAGAACCCCTGATTTAGTCTTGAGAGCCTCTTAGGATGAACATTTGGTTCTTAAAAATTGAGGGATGCCCACAAGGAATTCTGCTACTCCAAACTGAATTTGTCCAAAACAGCTGCAATTTTTTGAAGCACTTATAACTTCCTGGCATCTAACAGCCAAAAGAGAAGAGTCTTTGTTGTCAGTTAAGATAGCTATCCTAATAAATCAAGACTGGTTTTGATCATTGTAATTGGACTCCTATAAAAAGGAGAGCAGGGAGAGATCTATTGTAGTTTTATAATAGAATAGGAATCTTAAGTGTCTTTATTTGGGGGAGGATACTATTTTTTTAATAACCAAAATATAATTTTTAAAAATAATGACTTTCAATAAATACTCAGGTATTAATATATATTTAAAATTTTAGACCTTTTTCCTTTTTGTAGTAGAATACTGGGTGTGTGGGGGATAGCATAATATCTACCTACATAAGGATGAAAGAATTTGTATTAAATATTAGCAAAGTTAAGAATAATTATTACCTATTGCAGTGATCAGCATGAGTTAGAAGAATAGATGGGTTCATGTTCAGGATGAGCACCAGGCGTTAACTAAATAGGCTTTATAAAGAGATTTTCTGGAATGATGTCAGACTTTGTTAAATTATGACTGAAACTGAATTAATTTTTGCCATAAATTAGATAGTGGGAAAAGATAATATGTCCATTTTCGTGAAATTGAATCTTTAAAAAAACTTTTATTGGTTATATGTGAGAGATTTCAAGACATATGCCAGGAAAGTTGGTTTGCTTATTTATACCACCAAAGTACAAATACATGGAACCAGACTATGAGAGTGCTGAGTTAGGATTTACATCTTATTGTAAATGTCTGCTTTGGACCCTGGATCATATCTGACTCATTATTAGCCTGAGTCTCTTTTTTTCCCCCAAAAAATTAGCAGTGAAGATCAAAAAGGAGTCTACTACTGAATATACCAGAAGGGAAGAAAAGAGTTAGAAAGATACTGCAGTAATAGTGGGGAATTACAGTACTAGCAATGCTGATCTGATTTTACATATATGTATTTAATCTTAAAGTTTCCACTGTGTTACATACATTCGAAGTTCAGATTGAACATGCAGGGTTATTGACTGGTAAGCCAAAGAAACATGTAGTGGAGTTTAGTGGATAGTAGATTGGTCTGAGCATCAAAAGAACTACTGTATTCTGTAGTAAACTGATTTCCTGTTACCTTACGTGAGTCACTTAAATTTTCTTGGAGAGCCAGGAAGGCCTAAGTTCAAATCCTGCCTCTGACAGTAACTGTATGGCCATGGTCATTTAATCCCTGTGCCCAAGGAAAGAAAGAAGGAATAAACAGCATTTATTAAGCGTGGGATATGTGTTACACATATGCTAAGTGCTTTACGAATATCTCATTCGTTTCTCAACAGCAACTCTGGGAGGTAGGTGCTATTATTATCCCCATTTTTCCAGCTAAGGAAATTGAGGCAGACAGAGGTTCAGTGAGTTGTCCAGGGTCACACAGTAAGAGACAAGATTTGAACTAGGGTCTTCCTGACTACAGTACCACTATGCCACTTTAACTTCTTCCTTTATAAAATAAGCATGGTATCTGTCCTATCTGCCTCACAGTAATGTTGTATGTGAAATGCTTTGCGTACTTTAAAGTGACATATAAACATCAATTATTCAGTGTGGTTGCAAAAATATTGTATGTTCAAATGAAAACCATTGTAGAAATTCATTATCACTTATTTTTGGCAGCAACCTTTTTTAAATACAGCTTATGATATTTGACTACCCTGTGGTTAGGTTATCAATTGTGTGACACAACAAATCCAATCTTATTTTGAAGTCTGATCAGTAGGATTAATATTTTCCCAGAGCCTGGGCTGTCATGTTTTACATCTTCTTGACTTTGGCTCACTCTTCTCTTCTAAATGCCCTTTTACTTTTGGGTGTTAATGACCCTAATGCTTTGTCTTCCATGCTTCTCTAATGGATACTCTTGGGATATCTCGAGCAAGGTAGAAATATAGATCATTTGGCCTTCCGACTCTTTATTACTGTCTTTTTTTTGTGATACCACTACTCTTTCCCTCCTTCTCTTCCTTCCTTGGCTCCTTTAAAACAAAATAAAGAATCTTTTCTGGGACTTTCCCTCTATACCCTTATTGAGGAAGTAATTAGGATTCAGAGGACTTGTGAGGTGAGCTCTCCTCGTTGTTTGGGCTTTGGCACCATGCAGTTTAACATTTTCCTAATCTAAAGATAATTTTGACTGACTCTGAGTTGTCATTCAACCAGATAATTGTTAACCCAAAAGAGAATTGGCTTGACTTGGATTTCATGGTTATAGACTAGTTAGTCAATCGGTAAACATTTATTAAGTACTTAATATCTAGATAATTCGCTAAGTATTGGGGTTACTAGGAAAGGTAAAAGACAGTCCCTGCTATTGAGGAACTTGCAATCTAGTGGGGGAAACAACAAGCAAACAAATATGCACAAATAAATTCTATATAGGATAAATGGGAATTAATTAACAGAGGGAAGGTGCTAAAAATAAGAGGAGTTGGAAAAGGGCCTAGAGTATGACGGACTTTGAATACCAAACAGAGGATTTTGTATTTGATTTATACCTTAGAGTTAGGTTGGACCATTTTTAAGCTGAAAGTCAATGTTCAGTCCTTAAATGAAGTAATAAAGTCATTTTGGTGCAAATTTAGGCTTGAACCTTTTGTTGTAGCAAAGATAGTACTTGGTTAGTGGACCTGGATGTACTTGAAACTGTTAGTATAAATTACTGTGTACAATGACACTCTTACTATATGCAGTGACACCCTTGAAGTCATCTTGTATAATAGGACCTAGAGTTGGAAGGAAGTTTGGAGATCACCATGTTCAGTCCCCTCATTTTATGGATGAAGAGACCAGGGCCCTGAGAAATGGTGTGAGTTTTTTCAAAGTCACACAGATAGGGAGTAGCAGAGCAGAGTTCTCTGACAACAAATCCGGTGTGTTTTTATTTTTTTAAACTATACCATACTCCTTTCTTTTGCAATGATTAAAAAAACAAAGAAACCCCAAAACAACAACAACAAAAAAAGACAACTGGAGCGGCCAGAATAGGTCTCACAAAGTCAATACAGTAAAAGCTTTTCTTCTGACCATGGGGCTCCCAGACCACGACTTTCTGCTTATTCCTGCTTTACACATAATTCTATCAAGTCAGAAGAAGTAAATTAGAAGAAGGAGCTGTTATAGGCAGGTACAGTGAAAAGTAATCAATAGTCTGTGACGGCAAGTGAACAGGAAACTAGAAAGAATAAACTTAAGAATTTAAATATATGGGGCCAACAGCCCTGTGCATCGCACTGAGACCTTTCTGTATTGCAGTATTGTATAATCACTGGAAATCTATTGTGTAGTATGAAAAGCCTGGAATCTCTCTCAGCTTTGCTTCCTACTACTGATGGAGTTTGGACATAACATTTAAGTTCTCCAAAACTCAGTTTTCTCATTTATTAAATCAGAATAAAATACTAAGACTACTTGCTTCGTAGTTCTGTGAACTTAAATGAGATAAATGTAATTATTACAAAGCTTCTGTATAAGTGAGATGTTTATAATTACATGTATTCACAAGGATGGACTTTGAGTCATCAAGAAAAGGTTAAATTATTTATGCTCACAAGGAAGTGTATAATAAATTTTTAAAAGATTATCCAAACTATATAAAAAAAGAAAAGAAAACAAACTGCTGCTTGAATAAAGTCTCAACTATATTCAGAAAACTTGACTATTTGGAATGACTCATCCCTAGACGGTCCTAAAAGGCTTGGAGTCTACTGTATTTTCTTTTTATATTTGAAGGGTATGTATTTTCTAGGTAACTTATTTGGATCTTAGGTTGATCACATGTTGAAGTACATGACTTGACCTGAGTAATTTTTCTACTTACTGTCAGAGGGTGGTCAGAAATCCTTATTGGTCCATCATTGCTTTACCAGCTGAAATTGGCAGTCAGAAACAGTGCAGTGTAGATAAACCCAAGAACATTAAATTACTGAGATAAGGATTTTTTTTTCTGCTCACAAGAATGACAGGAAAAAATAGAAAAGCAGTTTGGCAGAGATTAGGTTAAGACCCACAGCCAATATCATACCCCCGCAGTAAGTTCAAAAAGGATATAAAAGTTTAATTTAAAAAGACAAAAGATATCAATAAAATGCATTTCATAGTTAGGATACAAAATTAAAGGGGGAAAAGTTTTTGAAAACTTAGATCCAAAGATTGCTATACCCCATGTCCTATGTTGATTATCAGCAAATAATCCATATATAGATGTGGGTTATTTGGAGACTTTGGTAGGAATAAAAAAGGGAAAACAGTTTTGGTTTCTCATTTTTGCTTGTTAACATCTTTCCTAGAGTTT